AAGTCAGACTTCTACCTATGGGTGCTCCATCACAACAGAAGCTGCTTCCTCCCCTTCAATCGTGAGTATGTGTGGGCTTTGCCAGTCAAGTGGGATAAGAAACAACAACAATTTTTCCAACACGTACCATTAACTATCATTTACGGCACAAAAATTTTTCTGTATATTTCAACTGTATATTGCATCTCTAAATCCGAAGATTTTGATTCTAGATCAAAGGCGATTGAGTGTAGAATGATGAAAGGAATGTCTGGCATGGTAATGTTTTCTTAAAGGAATCTGGATTCTGCCTAAAATAGTCCAAAAGGTCGTATCCAAGCTTTGCGGCACGTGGAGCGAGATTGCATAACTTTGCCATTATGCACTGCCGTTCACCAGTTCTCCGTCTGGCATTGTGGTTTGGAATGATATTGGAATTTATTACTTACATACATTAATATATTACGCATACATTAATATGTATTGCCGGTACATTGAATAGCCTGCGTTATATCTCTGAGGTTCTGTAGCATGTTGTCTTCAATTTAAAGGCTTGCCTCTGGCCATATTTCAACTGATCTATGTGAGACGGGAAATAGCATGCAATACTCAGTAATTCTGCATTTTGATGGTCAGCTTGTATGGATTGCTAAACACTATGTGCCTGGATTTGTTGATTTTTGTTTTACAGATTTTTGAAATAAGTATAAAATACGGATAGAAAAACAGAATTTTGAAAAACATTCATTTTTAATTATAAAAACAACTAAATATACACGGAACAGTTGCAAAGATAATAAACAAATTCACTATCCTATGGCATAAATCATTATGTTGCTACAGAAGATATTTATAGACTCGCATACTTTTCAAAACTAATAAATAACAAAGATTTTCTGAAGTTTTCATAAGATCTATGGTCAACATTTCCACTTATGTTTCCAATACGAGTCTACTTATGTCCAGACGAGGATTTCATCTGCCTTGTTCAGTGGTGTAATCAAATTATTTTTCACGAGCAAATTTTAATAAATATTTTAAGCAATCAATACATTAAAAATACACAAACAATTCAAATAACCAATTAAATGCAAATCTATAGGAAAATTTTCTTGCAATGTTATGAACCATTATAAATAATTTACGAACAGATACGTTTGTTGACTAATTCTAAGTTTTAAATCAGTTAAGTATTTTTTTTATATATATAATTTCTTTTATCCTTAAAACACATCCTAAATATTTATGATTTCATATAGTAGTTCTGTGTATTTATTTGATAAATCACTGTTTTTCTTTAAAGATCATAAATTTTCCTTGTTTCGACATATTGGCTGGTGTGGGCTATACTTTTTGGCGCAGCAGTGAATGTTGACTGCCCAAGAGGCTAATATACTGCAAGGTTTATGTCAAATGTGTGGGCTATGTTTGCAGTGGTGTTTCTCGCCATATATACTGCCAACTTGGCTGCTTTCATGATTACCAGAGAAGAATACTACGATTTGCAAGGAATTGATGACAAAAGGGTAAGAATAAAATTACCATTATTGCCCAAAGGAATGCTAATATTTCAATATTTTAATATTTTAATTAAAAAATTCAATTACGGAATTAGACAAGTTCGTTATTAATTAGAATAGATGAATAATATGCTATGTTACCGTATAAGGGTGCGCAGAAGATCTACCTCCCCGTGGTGCACCTGGTAACACTTTTTAGTGGCTAAAAGATCTGCAACTTGGCATTATTGTTAGATTAATGAACTCTGTTTCAGCATGTTTTGTTGTATTTGTTGCATTATTTTGTTGTTGTTGTATGTTGTATGTTTTTGCTGTAACTGTTCATAATCTGCCATTGAAATAAAAAAAAAAAAATTTTACCGTATAATATAAACATAATAACACGAAAAAGTATGCAATACAAAACTAAACAAAAATAAATATGACATTAGGGTATGACACGGTATACGAATATTAAGTCATAGAGTTCAGTCTAGTTTTTAGATATCCATAATTTCATCTTTAATATAATTCAAATAATATAACTCTTAAATTCTAAAGAAATTCTGAAAAAGTAAACATTAAAGTTATATACTTATTTTGTATCATGGTGAAATAAAATATTTTACGATTAAAAAGTGTTCTAAATAACTATTTTACTTTTCATATTCATCTTTTTTTTTATTTATTCAATTGATCTAATGTAAATTACTTTAACGGATTTTGTGTAGATATGTGTTAATTTAAAAAATAAGATGAACAGCAAAATGCATAGTTTGTGCCAATAATGTAATAAAACTTATTTACTGATGTATGTATGCAAAATATCAGATTCATAAAAGATATATGTACGTTTTAGAATTTATTCAGAGAAAATTTATTAGTGTAAATACCATTATATGCACGTATATATATATATATATGGATAGATTCCAAAATCTCCCGGAATGTAGAACTGATCCATTTTAAATATTTATTGTAGCCTGACATATTTTTTAAATTAAAAAAAAAAATTCAGATAGGGAATTACACAAATACATTATTATCCAGAATAAGTAAATAATATGCCATGATACACTATAATATAAAAATAATGATACGAAAGTATGCAATGCAAAAAGAAAATAATAAATAAATAAACATTATACAAATATGATATTAGAGATTCCCGGTATACAAATATTAAGATAGAATTCAATCTATAGAATTTAAAATAACTAAATATTGTTATTAAATACATTAATTATAAAGAATCTAGACCACAAAACAAAGTTATTACTTCAAGAGTAATGGATTTTGAGATAATAAATGATTTATTTCCTTTTAGGAAGTTTATTAAATTGATGCATTTCAATTTCGTCTATGAGTTGCCAATTATATTTATCTACCACTGTAAGTAATATAACCTATTTTAAGTTGCCATAACTATGTTAGAACAAGTAATTGTATTGCCCAGAACAATTGCCCAATTTTTCCACAAAAGAAGTGTTTAATTCATTTAAAAAATGTTGGCAAAAGACCATAACCACTTGTAAACCTACATTCTTCTGTAAAAAGACTTTTTGGGTTTTAAATATAAATTCGAAAAATTTCGCCTGTAAGGCCATAGTCTTGTAAATGACATTTACAGAATGAGACTTTCATTAAAAGACGTGTATTAAATGTTTTTCTTAATTTGATTGCAGTTGACGAATCCCTTACATGACCGATCCCCCTTTCCGATTCGGAACCATCCCTCAAACGGAAACACCGAGGCCGTCCTGAAGAGGAACAAACATCGGCTGTACACGTGGATGCGCAAATTCAACAGGTCCTCAGTGCAACTGGGGTGGAAGCTGTTAAAAGAGGGTGAATATCTACTCGTGTCTTTCTTGTTCTTAGAAAAGGAATGGAACATTATTCTCATTTCGTACACGTTTCTATACAATGAAGTATTATTTTGTAAATAACCAGCATTTTTATGTAGCAAGGAGTGATTAAATTTTATAATCGTATCTATAGGTATAAGAATAATGTGTAATTAGTTTAATGTACTAATGTATAAGGCCATAACCGGCCAAGGTACTCCGTCAAAAGAAGAAGAAGGAAGGAATGTACTACTGTTTCCAAAAAGTAAGACAGATTTTCAATTTAAAATTCCCCTGGTCCATGGAATTTAATTTTTTTCTTTTTTTAAGTTGCTGATACTGTCCTTGACATCAGTGTGAAATTTGACGTCAAAATATTCTTTAGTGTCTGAGTTACACTGGGCTTTGTGAGACGATAAAAAAGGATTCCGGCTATTTCTGAAATGTCTTAATTAATTAAGCAAAGAACTTGCATTACATTTTGTTTGCGGAAACGTATAGAATGTTGCAGAAGGTATACGGTAAGCATTCCTATATCGGAAAGAAATGTTTAGAAGTGGTATAAACAATTCAAAGAAGGCAGAGGAGCCCTCAGGTGGACCATCAACCTCAACCGACGAAACTCACGTCCAAAAAAAATTAAAGATTTGGTGCTTGCAAACCGTCGATTTACAATTAGAGACCCTGCTGATGATTTTGGAATTTCAAAAGGATCGGTCAATTCCATTTTTGCGCCTTTAACGCGTCAAATCTCGATTGGTACTGAAAGCACTGAATGCGCTACCTCACACTGCATTGATTCTTCATGACTTTATCGCCAGAAATGAAACTCATATCTTTTCACAAACACCGTATTCTCACAGTGGGACTTCTGGCTATTCCCTAAACTCAAAAGACCACTCTGGGGACACCATTTTGTGCTGACTGAAGAGATTTAAATTGAATTGCCCCCGCGCTTTGAAGGCTTTCCCCAAGCCGATGTCTTTTTTAGCATGCATTGAGAATTGGGGAAAAAAGTTGGCATATGTGCATTTTGTCCGGAGGATTACTTTGAAGGCGATGAAATAAATTTGGAAGAATAAAAAAGAATTTTTGACAAAAAAAAATAATCGGTCTGTAATGAGCACAGTTTTTAGCACAGTAGTAACTTCGATAATCTTTTTTCCATCTTCCTTCTCCGTATAACAATAGGTATTTTGGAAAGTTTAATTTGCTAAGAGTCTTCTTTAAATGAACACCATTCTGATATGACAAGTCATTTTCAGAAAGGTTAATCCTTTCTGGAAGATCTTTAAAAAATGTATACTAAATTTGAGTAATGTAAAAAAAAACCCCGAGATTTTAAGAATCGTTACCGACTTATTAAAGCTATGACTTCATGCAATGCTTCTATTCAATAAATATAGAAATCAGCATGTACATTAAAAGAAAGGCAAAAATTTTCATGTCAGTCATCAATCATCTTCTCCGTGTACAGCTGATTCTTATGCATAATTGTAGGAAACTTTGGAAATTATCAAAGACCAAACCATCTCTTGACAACTGCATAATTTAGCATCAGAATGCTTGTGAAAAACTATTTACGAAAAAAAAATTGCACTACCACTTAGAGAATAATCGGTAACACAAGAACACATACATAATTTCTTGCCCTTTTAATAAATCAACTGAAGCCAACGGCCATACCATGCTGAATATACCGGTTCTCGTTAGATCACCGAAGTCAAAGCATCATTGGGCGCGGTCAGTACTTGGGTAGGTGACCTCATGGGAACACCGCGTGCCGTTGGCATTCACAAATTTGGGACCTGAATGGGCGAGTGTCTAGTGCTCGGTCCCACAGATTTCGGGTTCGAATCCCGGCGGTGCCATGTATGTTTGTAGTGGTTCGGAATCCACTTAGCCGTAGGTCCCGGTCGCCTATGACTGTAAGAGCGTCACGGAGCCAAAGTCAGATTTCTACCTACGGGTGCTCCATCACTACAGAAGCTGCCTCCTTCGCCTTTAATCATGAGTACGTATGGGCTTGGTCAGCCAAGTGGGATAAGAAACAACAACAACATAAATCAACTAACTGGATTTAATATAAAAAGTAAACTAGATATTAAACTAGATTTATTTTAATTAAAAGGCCATTTTTTGATTCTAAATATCCTAATTAATCTCAGAATATATATATATATAAATATAAAATTTTTAAAAGACCATCGTAAAAAATACAAAATTATCACGTTAGTTATGTGCTATACAATGAGCAAAAAGTGTCTTATGGAGTAACTGCCCAGCCTTTGCTCGCTATAAAAAAGAAAATCTGTATAGCAAGTAAAAGTGAAAATAAAATTTAAATACTCAAAAAAAAAAAAAAAAATTAAACTCCACTTAACAACCTGAATATAGACTAATGAATGGTCTATAAATCATTATCGATTCTCAATTTCTGAAAGATTCCACTGCAAATGTTACCACTAGTGGAATGCGAACCACAGCTCACTTGTATGCTAGCTGAGTCTTTAACCGTTTATGCTATTAATAATTAACGAAACATTTGAAGGATTTATTTGTGATTGTTTTAAGCTGTGACAGTTCATAGCATGAAATAAATTTCTTTATTGTAATGATGGCCATATGCTAAGATATACACTCAAGAGCCAAAACATTATGACCACCTGTCAATAAGGAGTTGACCCACCTTTGGAGAAACAACACAGCTTCAACCCGCCTTGGCATGGATTAATACCACTACTTAATACCAGTTAAATACCACTTCCACCTGATCACGTGCCTTCCACGTCATCCAGGCGAGTTCATTGCAAAATGTAGGGGTGGTCATAATGTTTTGGCTCTTGAGTGCATACAGAAACGAATTTGATATATGTCAATTGAAAGTGTTTAATCCGTAATTTATATATTGTGCCTAATTCAAATACCAAGTTAAAAATACTCAGCTTTCAAAAATATTTTTTTTCAGAATTTTTAAAAGAATTTCTTTTTTTTTTTATTTCATATACATTTTAAAGAAAATATAGAGTTTCAGAATATGATCGGTTTGCAATAATGCTCAGTTTAGCATTATGCTAATGACTACTAAACCCAGATTTGTATATTAACTGACAGTATTGAATACATATTATAATTAGATTATACATGCATCACAAATGATTCAGCGTTTATAATTGAACTAACTTCCCCGCCTGAGGGACTAATCAGAATTACTATAACAGATTAACAGTGCGTGCAATAAATATAACTACTCTAAACTCAAAGTGATGCTAAATGCATAACTGAATTAATACTCATGGAGTAATACCTGTAATTATATGACAATGATTGCTCAGCTCTCTCTAAACAATAGCTTAATATGTAATACATTATTTCCCCAAAACTTGAAGAACGAGGATATTTAATCTTAATAAGAACGATTAAATTATTTACCACACTGAAATCAATCAAATCCCAATAACAGCACATATAATAATAATAATAAATAAATCATATGTTACTGAGAAAATTTTGTAAAATTTGAATTTTATAAATATATATTTTCTTTGAATTCCATTTAAAGCCAACATAATCAGTGCAACATGGAGTAATAATCAGAAATGATTGAAATTTTACATGAGCGTTAGTAAAGTTTATAAAATCAATGAATAAAAAATGTAAGCAATTGATTCATCATAATTAATCGTAGATTTTTTTCTAATGCAGCTGGCACTTAGACAGCTTGGTTTTGGATGCTCTTGTTAAGCGCTGCAAAGACGTTACTCACTTTGCATTACCCAGGGGGCGTGTGTAACTTCGAAGATAAGCCACGGACGCCCCTGCAACGCTCTACGATCCTATCAGGACCGGGACCTATGGTTTAAAGTGGATTCCGAACCACTACAAACATCCATTGCACCGCCGGGACTCGAACTCGAAACCTGTGGTACCGAGCGCCAGAGCGCTAGCCACTCCTCCATTCCGGCCCAATCGTAGAAATTTGGAAAATAAAAATTATTTTTATAAAAGGTGGGAAGTTAGATATTTTTGGCAGTTCTTTCACATTGATACCTTCACAAAATGTCAGACTACCGATTTCAACTACAACCCCCCTTCCTTCCCCTCCGTTCCGTTTTCTTAAAAATCTTGTGATATCTCTTTAGAAAAGTTCTGTAAACCTGCCTTGTTCTTTAGAAAAGTTCTGTAAACCTTGAATTTGTTTCAACTAGAGGCAGGTTCTGTAAACCTGCCTCTAGTTGAAACAAATTCCTAATTTGTCTCAATTAATCCACTCAGGTTAAAACACAAATTTTCAATCTATGACAAGTCTGTGTTTCGGATGGGACGAGTTTTCCCTGTTACCTTTCTGTGTGTCATCGAGCTTTAATATGGTGGGAAGTACTTTTTTAAGTAAGTAGTATATCACTGCTGATCAAATACTAAACAGCATTGGACTTTCATCAAGGGACTTCAAACATGTACAGGTTGTCATCGATAAGCAAACTGATCCCATTTTTCACTCAAGATTTCCTGTTTTCACTCCATCAATTTCTCCGAGAAACTCAACTTTCCACTTGAAGATGGTGGTGGGTGTCTATCAGGTGCAACATACACACAAGAGCCAAAACATTATGACCACCTGTCAATAACGAGTTGGCCCACCTTTGGCGAGCAACACAGCTTCAACCCGCCTTGGCAGGATTTAATACCACCACTTAATTCCAGTTAAATACCACTTCCACCTAATCACGTGCCTTCCACGTCATCCAGGCGAGTTATTGCAAAATGTAGGGGTGGTCATAATGTTTTGGCTCATGAGTGTACATATTAGCGCTGAAATAGTAAAAAGGTTGTCTACCCCACAATGATAAGCATAGACACAGCTCAGAGAGAATGTGTAGTCTGTGTTCCGATATTTGAATAATACAGTCAGCTGTATGCGTCTTTTGTCAATAACCCTCTCTCTTATTGGTCTCCTGCGGGAATTTTTGAACTAGGACCCCGTGTTTGAGAACTTACTCTCTTCCAATGGTCCCATCACCTCATTACAGTTCTGCTAGAACCAACGGGCGTCAAGGTATGGCCAGTACTACTTAATTACGTAATACTTAATCATACAGAAATTTTAACCATTTGAATAATTGACACAAATTTATCCGATTTTCGTAATATTTCAGCTAGTTCTTCTTGGTGTGTTAGTTTTTATGGAAATGAGTGTACATAGCTAAATTTGATGAATTATTGATGTCAATAAAATGTATATTGGTTCCTCTTATTGAACAATAATTTCCATTTAATCTTTGTAACTTGTTAACAAACATAAATTTACGAGTAAAATCTAATTAGAGTTTGGAATAGGTGCCTTAATATATATCAACAAAGTTTATGACACATTTAGCAATTTGACGCATAATTATGAATGATGTATCGTTAACTCAAAAAAATGTCTAATAATGACACAATAACAACAAATAAAAATCAACTAAGAAAATTATATTTTCATTTATTGTTTATTTTTATAACATGAGAATCATATTTTTATAAACGCAAGTACAAAATTTGCATATCAAACTATTTACACTGGAACATATATATATATGATATAATTTTCAAATTATTTAATGTGGATGTAAAGATATAATCATTCAAAAGTATTTTAAAGAAAAATATAATGAAAGATAAATTTTTTTTTTCGCCTAGTTGTCTAATTATAAGTTTCAGGGATTTCTTGCTTATGAAACCCAAATGGGACATAGTTACTCCGAAAATATTCTTAATCCACAGAAAAATAGCTTTTATACTTAGCAGTGGTCATCATTCAATAAAGCTGTCCCCATATCAGTGGTTTTCTTATACCATAATATATATTTGGAGAAAAACTATAATAACAACTTCAAAATGCAGAATAAAATAATTTTTTGTGTATATTTAAAAAAAAAACAATTATAAATAATGTAAGAAAATGAAACTATCAGCATAAAATTAAAAGGTTAGTTTAAAAGATTTTACTACAAATATGTTGTTATTAAAAAATTTTGTTTAATGACATATATCTTTCAGAGATTTGGATGCCTTCATTTACGATGCTACTGTCTTAGAGTACCTTGCTGGACAAGACAACGAATGTCGCTTGCTGACTGTTGGAACTTGGTATGCCATGACTGGTTATGGATTTGCTCTGCAAAAGAAATCCAAATATCTCAGCATGTTCAACAGAGCAATGATACAATACAGAGAAAATGGTAAGATAAAAACAAGAAATCATATTGTAAGTGCTGATAATTCATTTATTATATTTCTAATATTGAACTAATAAATAAATATAAAAACAGTTAAAGTTCATTTGCTTATTAGAAATAATTTTAAAAGTTTTAAAACTTTAAAAAGTTTAATACTTAATCCTATTTAAGAAACTTTTCATAACGTTTAATTTGCTTGTTTAATGTTTAAACTAATAGTGATTTTAAGGATTATATTTAATTGTATAATTAAAATGAATAATATTTAAATTTAATATCAAAATGCTGTATAATGTTGTTAATGATGGTTTTAATAATAAAATGCTAGAATAATGTTGTTGGTAATGATGGCTTTAATATTAAAAGATGATAAATGTTGCAGAAAATATTATATTTTTTGATCTGATAAGGTTGACGATTTTAAAAAAAAGCACAAATCAAATTCACAATAAAAATAATAATACAAGATGAGAAAAAATTTAAAAAAAAATAAAGACAAGCATTATATAAAAAAAAAATAAAAATATTAAAACTGCATTCATTATTATTTAATACACTTTTCTTTAAGTT